GAAATAGCTAATTAGTACTCTCTCCTCTTAGCCCTGCATATTTATTTTTGTTTTTATTTCCATTTTGAAAGTTTTATATGTGCTTTTTTTTTAAAAGAAAATGTTCTAATTTATTCTCTAATACTTTTACCAGTTATTTTAAATCTGTTTCATTGGATATTTGATCCATCTATCACTGGATACAATCTATCCTTATTTACACTATCAGAACCCTTCATTTATTCAATCTCTAAATAGAGCAGAAACATTATGCTTAATAGAGCAACCTCAGCTTCTTTTACTCTGTCTGCTTAACTGAAGCCTTTTATCCCTGGTAGCATTTTAGAAAATCTCCACTGTGCCGTCTCTAAGGTGTCAATATAAGAATTAGATGAAATACAAACTTATGAATTAGGAGTAGGAACAGTATTCCTCTAATTTTCTTTCTGGCTGCACCGGATTCTTGAAGCCTGTGTATGGCAGCAACTTCTGGAACCAAAAGTCAATGTGGTGATTGGTGTGCCGATGCCAATAGCAGAACCTTGGAGTGGTTGCACTTCTTTGACTCCTGTGTTAACCAGGAATTTGTCTACCTGTGCTTCAAAAGTATTCAATGAGCCTACCTCCATTGCTCTCCAGGGAAGAGAGTTATTTCCAAAAAACCCAACCCTCGGAGTTCCTCCTGATCTCTGCCTTTAGTGAGAGACTTAACAGTATAAAGCTATCTCCTTTGTTCTTCTCTCTCTGTCAAGGGGTGACATCCTTTCAATATCTACCCTCTCAGGAGTTTTTTGTGCTTAAATAAGATCACCTCTTAGTCTTTGGAATTTCAAAGGATGCAGGCTGAGCCTGAGCAATGTTTCATTAAGGTTGAAAATCAATTCTTTACTTTTGTATTATTTGCTTTGGTATTAAAGGCAAGATCCATAGGCCTTTTAAAAACAGCCTCCTCAAGTTGCACTAATCTTTGAAGATGGAAGACAGAGAAACCAGATCTTTTTATTCTGCCATTAATTTTAAAATTATACAATTAAGCTTATTTTGCCTTTTCATTTTTCTCAGTAAAATGCATTTTTTCACAAGGTGAGCATGTTACTTGTTCTGATACTTTTTTTTTATAACTCATTCTTTGGACGAGAGCATGCATAGTTAAGCCAACATTTATTTTCCGTCCCTAATTGACCTTGTAAAGCTGTTGGTGAGCCACTTTCTTGAACATAATTTATTAGGCCATTTCTTCTATCATTTTCTCCTTTATGATCTCATTCTGCCTATCTTGTTTGAATCTCTTGCTCTCCCCTTCACCTATTTGCTACATTTCAGAGCGTTGTGCCATCTCTAACACTTTAAATTCTGACCAATTTGTCCAACTGCAGATAATAAGAAGAAATGGTCTAATTGCTGACCCCTGGTGGACATCATTGTATACTTCCATTTTCACCATTACTCTTTTGCTTTTGGTCTTTTAACCAATTTCAGATCCAAGCTGCAACTGCTCCATTAGTTGCTTAGCCTTCAGTTTTGATAACCACTTTACCCTAACTTATTTCTTCCTCTGCTGTCTATCTAAGGCAAGATATTTGACAGAAACAAAATGATTTTGCCTTTCTTTAATGGTGATATTCTACATTTGATCGTATTTGTAAGCCTGTAACAGAAACAATTTGTTTCAGTAGGATGAAGCGATTCTTTTTCTTCTACACGTCAATAGCCTGAATCTCAAACCATAATGGGACACTGGTCAACTGCTTTTCTTCTGGTTTCTATTTTTGCTCCTATGTTGTTCAGGTGGTCATACCTTGAATTTATACTGTCAGCAGCTTAGCTTTCAGAGTCATGAGAGTGCACACCTTCACACCACATCAAAATACTGTCTCTAGCGAAGGAATTCTAAATGAATGTTGCTGGTTTCAGAGGGTTGAAACGTTAGCTTTTAGATTAAAAGAATTATGATTCAAATTGCTACCAATACAAGGCTATTGCAAACATTTGGTGATATCTGATATTGGATATGTGCTTGGTATTTTGGAGAAAGTTACTAAGAAGTCAATAGTTGCAAATTTCTGAGAGTCCCTTGGATATTAATTCCTGTGTTACTCTTGAAACAGATGTCAGATTTTCGTCCAGACAATTTCAATCCAGCCGTAATATCTAGTAATGGTACTAGTCTCTTTTTAACAATACCTTGGAATTTCTTAACCTATATCATAGTAATTGCTTGTCAGTGGTGTGTGATAGTGCAGAAATTCCATGAAATATTGACACTGTATCATCATTTTCCAGGACTTCTAATCTTATCTGATTTCTTGAATGAAATAGGGAAAAGCTAATTATTCTAGCTCAGTCCTATCCTGACAGGAAAAGAAAGGGATCATGAAAGTGCACCTTAACCTTTCAGCCACAAAATTGTACTTAGGTTTTTTTTTGAATTTCAATTGAAGGCAGTGTTTCCAGGAATCTAAGATAACAAGGTGTGGAGCTGGAGGAACACAGCAGGCCAGACAGCATCAGAGGAGCAGGAAAGCTGATGTTTCAGGTCTGGACCCTTCTTCAGAAATGGGGGAGGGGAAGGGGGGGGCTGCAATGATAGAAGGTGGATAGTGGAGCAGATAGGTGGGAGAGAAGATGGACAGGTCAGGGAGGTGGGGATGAAGCTAGTAAAGGTGAGTGTAGGTAGGAAGTGGGGGTGGGTGTTGGTCAGTGAGGTGGGAGGAGCAGATAGGTGGGAGAGAAGACAGACAAGTCAAGGAGGCGGGGATGAGAGAGGGTGCCGGTCTTGGGATGAGAGATTTTGAAGCTTGTAAAGTCTACATTGAGACCATTGGGGTTGTAGGCTTCCATGGAATATGAAGTGCTGTTCCCCCAGTTTCCGGGTGGCATTGTTGTGACACCGGAGGAGGCCCAAGATGGACATGTCGTGCAGGGAGTGGGAGGGGGAGTTGAAGTGGTTTGCGACTAAGAGGTGTTGTCGTTTGTTGCAAACAGAGCATAGATGTTCCACAAAGCGATCTCCGAGCCTCCGCTTGGTCTCACCGATGTAGCGGATGTGCAGGTGAACATCTGTTTAATGTGGAAGGCTTTTTTTGGGGCCTGGGATGGAGGTGAGGGGGCAGATGTAACACCACCTGCGGTTGCAGGGCAAGGTGGGGGGGGACGAGGGAGTCGCAGAGAGAGCGGGCCCTCTGGAAGGCATATAAAGGTGGGGAGGGAAATATGTCCTTCGTAGTGGGGTCAGATTGCAGGTGGCAGAAGTGGCGGAGAATGATGCATTAAATCAGGAGGTTAATGGGGTGATACGTGAGGACGAGGGGAATTCTATCTTTGTTCTTATTGCGGGGGAGGGGGATCATTGCAGTCCTTGAAAAATGAGAACATCTGGGATGTCCGCGAGTGGAACGGGAACAGAGGTGGAGGAATTGGGAATAGGGGGATCACATTCTTGCAGGAAGGTGGGTGAGAGGAGGTGTATTCTAGGTAGCTGTGGGAGTCAGTGGGCTTGAAATAGATATTAGTTTCAAGGTGGTTACCAGAGATGGAGACAGAGACAGACGTCCAGGAAGGAGAGAGAGGTATCAGAGATGGTCCAGATGAACTTAAGGTTGGGGTGGAAGGTGTTAGTAAAGTTGATGAACTGTTCGAGCTCCTTGTGGGAGCACAAGGCGGTGCCGATACAGTCATCGATGTAACGGAGGAAGAGGTGGGGGATAGTTGCGGAAGAGGGACTGTTCCACGTATCCTACAAAGAGGCAGGCATAGCTTGGGCCCATGCGGGTACCCATGGCCACCCCTTTCGTCTGTAGGAAGTGGGAGGAGTTGAAGGATAAGCTGTTAAGGGTAAGGATGATTTCAGTTAGGTGGATAAGGGTGTCGGTCGAGGGGGAGTGGTTGGGCCTGCAGGAGAGGACGAAGTGGAGGGCTTTCAGGCCATCTGCATGGGAAATGCAAGTATACAGGGACTGGACATCCATGGTGAATGAGGTGTTGGGGGCCAGGGAATTGGAAGTTTTGGAGGAGGTGGAAAAAATAGAGTCGATAAGTGGAGATAAGTTTGGTGGGGCAGGAGCAGGCAGAGACAATGGGTCGGCCAGGGCAGTTGGTTATGGATTTTGGGAAGGAGATAGAAACGGGTGGTGCAGGGTTGGGGAACGATGAGGTTGGAGGCTGTGGGTGGGAGGTCACCTGAGGTGATGAGGTTATGGATGGTCTGGGAGATGATGTTTCGGTGGTCAGGGGTAGGGTCATGATCAAGGGGGTGGTAGGAGGAGGTGTCAGTGAGTTGGCGTCTGGCCTTGGCGATGTAAAGGTCAGTGCGTCATACCACAACTGCACGCCTCCCATGTCCGTGGGTTTGATAGTGAGGTTAGGGGTGGAGTGGGTGAGAAGGGTGGAGAGGTTGAAGCGATTGATGTCATGACAGCAGTTAGAGATGAAGAGGTTGAGGGAGGGTAGGAGGCTTTGGGGTGGTGTCCAGGAGGATGGTGTGTGTTGGAGGCAGGGTTAGTCTCGCGATTAAAGAAATAAGCGCAGAGGTGGCGGAAAAACTGTTAGACATCCAGGTGTGAGCAGTATTCGTTGATGTTCGGGTGGAGGGGGTGAAGGTGAGTCCTTTACTGAGGACTGACTGTTCGTCCTCAGTGAGGGGCAGGTCTGGGGGCTGGTGTTGATTGTAAAGCTGCTGGCTGTAGGAGCGGCGTTGGCTGGTGCCTCCTTGATGCAGGCAGGAAGCTGCGGTATCTGCGGTACCAGAAATAGTGTGACTGGTGTCGGCGGATGTGCCATGATCCGTGGAGTCCTTCTGTGTGATAACCAAGTGTGTGGCTTACATTTGGCTATCTGCTTGGTATTGCTGTTTTCTTGATACCATGGACCAGTTAGAGGAGCACCATGTGGTAATTCTGACTTCTGCCATGACCCCAATTTACTTTGTCTCCTGCAGATGGCTCTTGCTGTAGAACTATTTTGTAAAATGTTTGAAGTCACAAAAGAACCTATATAATTGTAACATTTATCTTTCTTATAGGGGCCACAGTAAAACTGGAAGACTTTCTGTTATTGGAGCTTTTGCAATGGTTTAAACAGGATTTTTTCCAATGGGTAGATACTTTGCCCTGTAACAATTGTGGAGGAGCAACACAGGCATCAGGTTCACTTTCACCGTCCAGTGAAGATATAAGATGGGGTGCTCAAAGAGTTGAAAATCATCTTTGCAATAAATGTTATACCTGCAATCGATTTCCAAGGTATACACCTCCTATGAAGTAAGGTTTGTGCTGAATAATGACAAAATTTCAACCCACACAATTCAATTTGACTTGTGTACGATAATCCTTTAGCTTACTGGTGAGACACTGCGTACTTTATTTAGGGCGCACTTGGATATTCATTTTTAAAAGTATTCCTAGCCATTCAAATCTTCAGCTAAAAAGTAAAGCATGTAATAATTCTTAAATGTAAATTTGGCTTCAAGTATTATCAGTTTCCATTTTTTATTTATTAGAGAGGAATATGAACCTTTGGATTGTTTACACAATAAAAGCAACTTGCTACCCTTTCCGAATCTATTGTTTGACCGAATATAAATTTTTAGTCCCAGTCATTTCAGAAATAAAGCAAGGAAAACATTTTTTCCATTGTATTTCACGTTGCTTTAAGTAGATTTGTAATTTATTTCAAAGACAATCTTGGTGTTTCACCCATCAGCAATTTTATTACAACACAAATAAAATCTGGGTATCTGAAATAAAAGCCAAGTTCCAAAAACACTCAACAGGTCTAACAGCAGGCAATTAGCTCAGAATTGAGATCCTGCCTTATAGGCTTATCCCTAAGGATATACAGCAAACTTTTTATTAACTGGCACTTATGGGTCCAGGAGTGTACCAGTTGATCAAATATTCCAGTTGATCGAGAAGTTCATATGTAAAAACACACACTAAGTAATAGAAACATAATGCAAGGGCTATACATGTCATTGTTATATTTTTATTTACAGCATAAATCACAAATAAAACTTATTGGCAGACAGCCTTCCCATTTGCACCTTCAAATGATTACTTAGATTTCAATAATGCAGTAAACATCCGGTATTTCAGGTATATAATTTTTGCCGGTACCTTAGGTGCCAGTTAAAATAAAGTTTGCTGTATTCAAGCAATTTTCCCACCACTGATGCCTTTAAATAGGGAGGTTATATTTTTTGTTCATGAGATGTGGCCATCACTGGTAAAGCTAGTATGTATCACCCATCCCTGTTATCCTTGAAGTGTGTAATCTGCATTCTTGAACCTCTGCAATCCTTGTCAGCTCTTTTGCTACCTTGCAATCCAGGGAATCTATTCTTGAATTCCCTGGATTCTAGAAGATGAAGACCCAACATATTCCTTAAAACTGAAGTCATCGCTTTTAAAACCATAGGAGGTAGACCATCAGATTATAACTATTTGTCAGCTTTTATTCCCATTCATTTCTCAAAAATCTCTGCTAACAGTTTACAGAATGCCTCTTGGATACCGTACCCTAGGTTCTCACTATTTGAGTTCTGGTTTGAAAAAGGATATAAAATATTTGACTAATGTCTGCCTTTACTTCCTGTTATAAATTTTCCTGTATTTGTCTCTCAGGAATCCACATTTACTGTCACTAATCTTTTCCTTTTCTATATTGTAAAAACATGAACTTTTTAAAATACTTTATAATTTGTTGTCAATCTGTTTCCCTCTGTTTCTTGCTCATTTTTTTTTAAATTTGCAATCTTCAAGTTTATTGCATTTCATAATATTATAAGGCTCATTTAAACAAGAACTATTCATAACTTCTGTAGAGGGTCTTGATTGTACCACTTTTTCCAATGGATTTTTCTTTTCATTAAAAGAATACATGTTTCTTAAGAATTATGAATGATTTCTTTAGATGCGTAAATGTCATTATATCTTTTAATCCAGTTTTGTGATCTATATTGCCCAATTTGCCCTCACTCCTGTGGTTGGCTTTGCTTAAATTCCAACCCTTAATTTTGGCTCAACCACATCACACTCCAATTCTATGAAATTCAGAATGTGACAATCAGTCTTCACTAAGGAATAGTTACCAGTGAAATTATTTATTACGTGGACCCTTCGACAAAGCTAGACTTAAAATACCCTAGTTACTTGTTAGTTGCTCAACATATTGTTTTACTCATGACTGTTTCTTTACCTTTTTACTATCAATCATTTTCCTGAAAAACATAAGAACCAGGAGTAGGCCATCTAGACCTTTGAGCCTGCTCTGCCGTTAAATAAGATCATGGCTGATCTTTTTGTGGCCTCCGCTCCACTTACTCATCCTCTCACTATAACCGTTAATTCCTTTACCAATCAAAAAATTATCTATCTTAGCTATGAAAACATTCAATTAGGAAGCCTCAACTACTTCACTGGGCAGGGAATACCATAGATTCATAACACTTTGCATGAAGAAGTTCTTCCTCAATTCAGTTCTAAATTTGCTCCCCCTAATTTGAGGCTGTGTCCTCTTGTTCTTGTTTTAATCGCCAGCGGAAACATCCACCCTGCTTCTATCTTATTCCCTTCATAATTTTATATGCTTCTATAAAATTTCCACCCTCATTCTTATAAATTCCAATGAATATAATCCCAGTCTACTCAGTCTCTCCTCATAAGCCAACCCTCTCAAATCTAGAATCAACCTAGTGAATCTCCTCTGCACCCTGCTCCAGTGCCAGCACATCCTTTCTCAAGTAAGGAGACCAAAACTGCACGCAGTACTCCAGGTGGGGCCTCACCAGCACCCTATACACCTGCAACATAATCTCCCTGTTTTTAAACTCAATCCCTTTAGCAATGAAGGACAAAATTCCGTTTGGCGCCTTAATTATCTGTTGCACCTGCAAACCAACCATCTGCGATTCATGCACAAGGACACCCAGGTCCCTCTGCACAGCAGCATGCTGCAATTTTTTACTGTTCAAATAATAGTCCGTTTTACTATTATTCCAATCAAAATAGATGACTTTACATTTATCAACATTGTACTCCATCTGCCAGATCTTTGCTCATTCACTTAAACTATGTACATCCCTCTGCAAACTTTGCTCTACCACTCATCTTAGTGTAATCCACAAATACTGACAGACTACACATGGTCCCCAACTCCACGTGTTAATTGTAAACAATTGTGGTTCCAACCCTGATCCCTAAGGCACACCACTAGTCACTGATTGCCAACCAGAAAAGCACTCATTTATTCCCACTCTTTGTTTCCTGTTGGTTACCTAATCCTCAATCCATGCTAATACATTGCCTGTAACGCCGTGCACCTTTATGTTATGCCATAGCCTTTTGTACAACATCTTGTCAAATGCCTTTAGGAAATCTAGATACACCACATCTACTGGGTCCCCATTGTCCACCATGCTTGTGATGTCTTCATAGAATTCCAGTAAATTAGTTAAACATGACCTGCTCTTCATGAACCCATATGGCATCTGCCCAATGGGACAATTTCTATCTAGATGTCTTGCTATTTCTTCCTTGATGATAGATTCAAGCATTTTCCTCACTAAAAGAATTTAAGCTAACCGGCCTATAATTCCCTACCTTTTGTCTACCTCCTTTTTGTTTTTTTTAAAAACAGTGGTGTCACATTTGCCATTTTCCAATCTGCTGCAATCTTCTTATCTTCTAAAGGACCAATGTTTACTTTAGCCACTTTTTTTTTCATTTTACATATTTGTAGAAACTATTTTCTTCCGCTGTCTTCTTTCTTTGAGACCGCTCCCTGTTGAGTCAGATGTTTACAAACTTGACTGTCCCTCATCATCCACTTAGCCTACTCATCTTGTCTCTGATGCACACTTCCTTTTCTGGGTTTTTAATATGCCATCTAGGACAAAGCAGCCTGATTGACTGGCACCCACATCCACAAACATTCACTCCCTTCACTCCTGAGCTGAGTAGCAGCAGTGTATACCATCCACAAGAGGCACTGCAGAAATTTACCAGTGTTTCTTAGTACCTTCCAAACCGATGATCAATACCATCTATATAAGGACAAGGTGGCAGATGCAAGGGAACATTACCATCTGCAACTTTCCTTTCAAGCCACTCACCATTCTGCCTTGGAAATATCGTTCGTTCAGTGTCGCTGTGTCAAAATCTTGGAACTCCTAACAACGTTGTGTGTCCAACTATAGCAAATGGCCTGCAGAGATTCAAAAAGAAAACTCATCGCCACTTTCTCTTGGGTCACTAGGGATAGGGCTAAGTTGGCCTAGCCAGCAACACCTATACCCCATGAAGAAATGAAAAACCACACCCTTTTGCTTCAAGAATCTAGTTTCACCATACATTGAATTGCGTACAGTATTATGTTTCTGATTGAATTTGCACTCCTGTTTTAGGACTGTACAGAAGCAGTCATACTTGGATGATAATTGTCGTAAATCTGTCCAGCCTTTAAAGTGGGCCAAGAATTAAGTGCTTCAAAACAATTGGCATGTAATTGGGTTAAGCATCTTTCCTTCTGACAGCAGTTGTGCTGTATCTTCCCAATTGAATCAGCTTGTGGCCAACTACAGAATTGTTCAAACCACATTATGTATCACAAATAAAATGCAAAAATAAACCATAATCCTACTGCGTCTACTTTAGAATTTCTGAATTTTGACTTCCACTTCCAAAGCTACCTCATTGTGAACTTAACAGTATGCCCCTGTAACTTAATATCTACATTCTAGGCTGGGAAAAAGATTGTTACAGAAATAGTGAACACATTGCTTTTGATCTTCCAGACTTCCCAAAATTCAGAAAGCATCCCCATGATGAGCGAAAAGAAAGCAATGTCATGGGCTGAGAGACCAGAGATGGAGGAACCAAGTTCTTAAGGTTGTAGGACTGAAGGAGGTTACCGATATAGTAAGAAGGGAGAACCTAGAATGGATTTGAACATGATAATTTTGGAATTGAGGTGTTGATAGGTCAGCACGCCTATGGGTGATGGGTAAGCAGGATTTGATGCAGCTTATTATACTTGCAGTATAATTTTGAATGAAATGTAATTTATGGAAGATGGAATTTGGGAGATCAACCAGACAGGGCTTGAAGTGGTAAAAGCATGGATGAGGATTTCAGCAGCAGTGGGAATGAGGCAGAGTTAAATATGGATGATGCAGTAGTAGTCCTGAAGAGAATATGTAATCAGAAGCTCAGCTCGGAGTCAAAGAGGATGTTGAGATTGGTAACAGTTTTATTCAGCTCCAGGTGGTAATGAGGCAACAGAATATATATTGGGACTCATTGCAATCACATGAGGATTTGTATGACTAAATAAGTTTGAGTTGGACAAAGCAGAGAAAATCCCATCACATAAAATGGGCGGTGGCGGAGGTGGGGGTGGGGGATGTTGGAACTGGTTCACATAGAATTGTTTATCAGCACAGAAAGACCACGTGCCTAACTGGTACAAGCCACCATTTTGTTTCACTCAAACCTCCTTCCACCTTGCTTCATCTAACTCAGCTGTTATCACCCTGTATTCCCTTTTCCCTCATGCTTATCTAGTTTCCTCTTGAATGCATCCCTGCTTTGAACTTCAACTACTTTCCTTGACCGAGAGTTCCACTTTCTAATTAAAGAAGTTCCTACTGATTTCGCTATTGGATTTCTTGATAACTATTATATTGATAATCTCCCGATTTCCTCTTCCTTCAAGTGGATACATTTCTATTAAAAACATTTCCGATTGTGAAGGAGCTATATTAGATCACCACTCTCACTTTATTCAAAAAGAAAAGAAATCCAGCTATTCATCCCTTCCTGATAGATATTATTCCACAGCTCAAGGTTTTAATCTTAGCCCTTGTAAATTTTTTGCTCCTTTCCTCAGCCACTTTATTATAATCTGGTATCAAGAATAGCACTCAAATGTGATCGAACCAAAGCTTGAATAAATTTAGAGGACATCTACTTTTCAACTTGATTCTCACAATGGGATGGTTGTTTGACAATGTGATATTGAAGTTGAGGAATGAGAATGTACTGTGATCTTAGACACAGGACGTCAACAATTACTTTGATTAGAGGCATTTCAGTGCTATGATAGTGTATGAAACCTGATTCGAGAATCTCAAACAGTTGTGAGAAAAGAGGGACATGGATTTGGGAGGTGACAACACATTCAAGGTCTAAGGGTGAGCAGACTGTTTACACTGCCAGCTACTTATAAATTAAGGAATGGAAGTTGAATGGTCTCCAACTTGGGAGAACAGCAGAAGGATTCCACAGAAAGGCAGAGCTCAGAAAAGGTGCTAAGGGAGACAGGAGAAAAGCTAGTTAGTGATAGATACATGTTCAGGAGGGGAATCTATAGAAAATTAAGTTTCATGGGTAATGGGAAGGTTGTGATTAAGCTGGAGGCAGCTGAGTAGATGATTGGTCTTAGTAACAAATAATCTAAGTTCTATTTTTTGAAAGGGCAGGGGAAAAAGGTTTTAAGAGGACAGTTGGAAGTGGTGGAGAAAAGTCAGGTGAAGTTTTACATTTTAGCATGATACTTGGTGAGTAGGTTTTGTAAAAGGCAACAGAACTCAATAACACACAATGTGGCCCAGACAGATCTCATGATGAATGATCAAACCAGTTCTGTGCTGGATAAATTGAAGTCTGCAACCCTTGAGCTTGAATGGCTAACCTGGAATTTTCTTGGGGGGAAAGAGCGAATATGGCACAGGTGAGGGAGAATGGTAGAATTAATGGAGTAGGCCAGGAAGTGAATGAGAAGATCATCAACTCCAGGACTATCATTCCTAATGGAGGGACTAAGGCAAAACAGTTGGAAGTTGACGACTTGGAGCGACTTTATTTCAGTGTTTGAAATGCGAAATGAAATAAGATGGTTGTAAGAAAATGACTAGAATTGGCCTTATTTATATTTAGGGCAATAGAAATCGAGACGGAAAAATAGTAAGGCTAAAGATGCAGCCATGAACGATGGTAAGGAAGTTTTATAGGAAGGGGCAGGTTAAGAGAGGGCAGCAGGACAATATACTTAAAAAGAGAATACTTGCAGAAGATGAGTTGCTCATGCCATTTGTTTATTTTGATTTTACTACTTGCACTTTTCTTATACAGTAAACTGAACGTTGATTTACAATGAATGTACTGATGTCGGATCATTCTAGTAATATAGATTCATCCATCTTGCGTTGAAGCATTTCTAATATTTATAAATTACTACTTCCTCTTGATCAAACTTGTACAAGTATAAAGATATCATATCTCAGTATTGTCCCAAAATCAAAGATAACCAACATCTGTTTCATCATAATAGAGATGATTTATCATCTCCACTGCTGATATCATACAATTACGTGAGATTAAACATGAGGAGCTCCTTGTGCCTCCACAGAAAATTTTAGAAAGTTGAAATAATTCTAACCATATAAAGATAGTGCCTGAAGTTGATAAAAACAAACAAAAACAAAGTCAAGGACTATTGGAAATTATAACTGAACTGGATGCATGGACAATTGTTTTTGGACCCTGGTCTGATCCTTGTAGTCCAGTTGGAAGCAAGTTCATCATTGTATCTGGCTTTTGAGACTACCCTGTTCCAATATTTCTTACTTTATGAATAACTGTATGGGATGTTTACTTGTATAAAATAGCATTCACTTTATTATAATCTGCTTTTGTGTATGTTAAAATATTTTTTGAAAGTTATTCTCTGTCAAAATTGTTTCCACAAGTTTGACAGTATGTTAATTTTGACATTTTTTTATGCTCTGAAATATATAGGTATAATCATGCTGAGAAGTTATTGGAAACCAGGAGGGGACGTTGTGGAGAGTGGGCCAACTGTTTCACACTTTGCTGCAGAGCCATGGGGTTTGAAGCAAGATATGTTTGGTGTACAACAGGTAAAATAACGTATATCTGTAAAGTGGAAATTTAATAAAGTGAAAATGTTGTTTACTTTTCAATATTACAGATATTTTGCACTAAATTCAAGAAATTTCGGAATCATACTGGTAAGCACTGCTGCCTCACAGCGCCAGGGACCCAGGTTCAATTCCACCCTCAAGCAACTGTCTGTGTGGAGTTTGCACATTGTCCCGTGTCTGCATGGGATTTCTCTGGGTGCTCTTTTTTGTCTGCAGTCCAAAGATGTGCAGGTTAGGTGGACTGGCTATGCTAAATTGCCCGTAGAGTCCAGGGATGCATCAGTTAGGTGGTGTAGCCATGAAATGCAGAGTTACAGGGATAGGGTAGGGATTTGACTCTGGGTGGGATGCTTTTCAGAGAGTTGGTGTGGACTTGTTGGGCCGAATGGCCAGTTTCCACACTGTTGGGATTCTATGATTCTATTCTATTAAATTATCAGAATAAATGTGCAGCAGTTTTCCAATATTTAAACAGTTCATTTATAGTAATACATGACAAACATGGTGTTTCACTTTCCTGCATAACATCATGCCACTTCAAGCTTTTGATGTATACACATTTTGCTGAAAAATATACATTTACTTGCTAAAATAAAGTGAAAACTGAAATATCTGTTATAATTTATGCTAATGCAGTTAATTGTAACATTACTATAATTAAACCACTCTCTCAAAATTAATTTCTAACCTTCCCAATAAAGGAACTTGTAACACAATCACTACTTGCCTCATCTTTTCATCTTGCTGCAGTCCGTGCCAAGAAAATGGATTTTTTTTTGCAAATCAGCCTTTTTCTTTCTATAATGTGTAACATTGTCAGGCTTTCTTGTATTTATAGACTTGCCTTTGGATTTGCCTGATATCATTCCTAAAAAATAAATCAAAAATGTCCTATGCATGAATGGCTAATACCAATGATTATAGTCTTTATGGGTTGTTTTATGTCCATTCAACTTTGATTTAGCACTTTTGCATCTGAGTTAAAACTGGGTTTAAGCCCCACTTCAGAGATTTGACCACATGATCGAAGTTCATTTAAATGCAGTATCAGTTCCCACGGCACCTTTGGAAAGAGAATTCTCCTGGGATCCTGACAAATAATTATCCCCTAAAACAAATATCTGGTCAGGTTTTTTTAAATTGCCAATTTTAGGGCCTTGTTAGAGGCAAGTTAACTTTGAAGCTTCCCTAAATTACAACAGTGGCACCATTCTATGAAGTAGTTCATTGGCTGTGAGCACTTTATAACATCTTTGCACCATAAATACATATTTAATTGTAAATATTCAAGGTCCAAGTAATATGTGGTGATACAAATTTGTATCTAATGTGAAATCTATTTTGACTGAGGGTCGCTGCAACTCCATTTTAATGGAGCTCCTGAGTCTGACTATTTGACGTACTTGTTTTGTGAATTTGAAGTGAATTGCTGCCAAATCTACTGGTAACTTCCTTCGTACTTGGAATATAGGTGACACTGTAACGTCAGTATTTATTACCAATCCCTAGGTGCCTGAAAACATGAATCAACCAGGTAGTGTAAAACTGGAGTCACAGCTATAATATGGATAAATAGGAGTGGCAGGTTTACTTGCGTGCAGTTTTGAGTTTTTATTCTCACTTTCCAATGTAAGCCCTCAAGTTACCAAGTGTACCAAATTCACCTTCACAACCTGCCATGTCAGCTTTAATCTCCTGACACGTCTGCATTACTAGTCCAGTAGGATAATCATTTAAGCTATCAGATTCCTTGTTGAACAACTGGCATTTTAAACAGTTGGCTTGCAAAGTTAATTCAGGGCCATGTTAATGATTCCTTTTTTTTCATGACATTGAGAATGAAAACTACACAAATATTTTCAAATTCCAATGCACTGCAATCCCTGGCATCAGGGTTTTATAACATCAAGCGAAATCTGATAATATAAAATGATTGCTCAACAGCAACCTGATTTAACTGCAATTTATATTAGATGTGGTTCTTTTTGGCATTGTTCTGCATGACTATAGAGGTGGGATCATCCATAACGTTGGACATATGTCGTGCGTGATGTAAGAAAACTGGAATATGAGTTATTTTAAAGTCCTTTGACCTAGTTCAGTTGGTTATTGCAGCTGTAACCAGAAGGCTGGTTTTGATAATGTAACTGGATTTTAGTTGTCTTTTTTAGATCATGTATGGACTGAGGTATACTCAAACTCCCAGAAGAGGTGGCTGCATTGTGATCCCTGTGAAAATGTTTGTGATAAACCACTCCTGTATGAAGTTGGATGGGGAAAAAAGCTGTCTTATGTTTTTGCATTTTCGAAGGATGAGGTAAAATTTGTGCTTGTGTAAATCCTAATTAGGTGACAATCCCTTGAATATATTGCTTGATATCAATGACTTTAAAGGATTTGTGAATTGTGTTCTTCTGGCCCTTAGCCAGAGAGGTAATGTTGTGTTTCACATAATTCAGGTTCCAGGAATAAGTGGGAGACATGAAAGCAGCAAAGTGCTAATAAATACTACTGGAATCAGTTTACTTTTTCATCTGTGAATAAAATCTTATTAAAATCCTATTTAGCAGTTATGTAAATCATGTGCTTGATACTCAGAATGTGACTTTATCTATCTTTTTACTTTATTTATTTATCTTTATTTATATTCACATTTTAAATCTGTTTAGTTTTGACACTATTTCTAAATTATTCCATTTATTGTATCTGGAAATGTAGCCTTGGTTGACTTTCCCAATCAGACTCTAAGAATGTAGAAACATACTAAACTATCTATTGAGCTATTGCATTTAGCAATACATTCTTGGATGGACAAGCTTAAGCTGCTCCATCAATTTCACTCTCTTTGTAAGATCAAAGATCGGGCTATCCAGTGATGATACCATATTGATCAGATCTTTTCGCTCCTCTAAACATGAAGCTGCCTGTACTTGGAGAAAGGCAAAGCCTGGGTTGAAGGTCAGCGGTAAGCTCGTATCACGAATGACAGGTCTAATAAAAGCATGCTCACTTATCTCTCTGAAACTCAATAGCACCATAGTGTCCAAAATTGTCACCACTAGCACCTTGATGGCCCAACTGACAAGGACCTAATTGTACCAATCATATCAAAATAGCTACCAGAAAGAGCGTAGAAGCTGCAACAATTGTCTAATTTCACCACAAAACTTCTTGATCGTATACAAGGCTCAATTCAGGAGTGGGGTGGACTACTGGTTATTTCTAGATGGGTTTAACTGCACCATTTCAAAAACCATCCCAAGTAGGGCAACTCATTGGTGCCTTTGACATTTGACTAATATCTATAACTTCAATCACTGCTACTGGACACATATTCCAGTGAATCATCTACAGTTTTCAATGTAGCCACTTTATCGCAGTCCTATATTTTGATTTCTAGAAAGACACGAACATCGATATTGTGAGAACACATCACCTCCAAGCCATGCACTAACCTGACTTAACATTTATTAACATTCCTCCATCCCAGGAATTCCCAAACTATCACCATTGTGAGGACATAATTGACTCAAGGATTATGGCAGCTCAGCAAAACACACAACTAATTGCTAGTTGCCCCAAGTGCATTTTTTGTCAGTTCAAAAAAGATATTTTTAAACAACCTGTTCAAACATGTTATGACACACATCTGGAGCAGAATAGCATGGACTTTCTGTTATCTGAAGATTTTTGGGAAGAATCCTAATGCCATTCAACTGATCTATCCCTCCAATTCTCGTAAATGAGTCAATCATTAGGAATATTCTGCATTACTATGAACTGTCTCACTGAGACATCAATTTATTGAGATTATTGTGCAAGGGTTACTTAATTTCAGACTTTCATCACAAGTGTCATTTTGTAGCCATCTCAATTCTGATTCACCAATGCATATCAAGGGTAGCTGTATCAACTAGGGCTTGCTTTTTTTCTCTTATACAGCTTCAAACAGCTCTCAAGAAAATTCGTAGAACAGCGGAGCTGTAATTGAATAATTATTGGGAAATTTGCTTTAAGATCTGTTCTTGTTAAACATTTACTCTCATGTAATGTCCTGCTGCAATCTCAACTTCAGTTTCAGAAGGTTAAGATGTGCAGACCTCAAAGTATCTTGCGCAGAACCAGATTAGCCATTCATGCCAGATCTGGCTGGACCATGTCAAGAATTACGAGGCCAAGGTCTCTTCCACCAAAACTGCTCAATGCTCCAGGGTCATCCTGAAACACTCAGTTAATTCTTGGCTTCTTCTGCACCCTATATATGTAACTTAAAATTTCTTTTGCTTCTGCCTTCACTTCTAACGACACACATTTGACACTGAGACTAAAATGATCTGTTTTGCTGCTAGCCCAGGAACTGCGTATTTCTCTATTTGCACTCCTATCTGCCCTTTCAAGCCTATCTCGCCCATGAGACCTACTTCCTGTTCTCTTTCCTTTTAAATCTGCTGTCACCAGCTTTTTCTCAAAAAATCCATTCCACCTTTTCTCCAACTTGCCTTTTCCCTTAAAAATCCTTGAATGTGTTTATGCCTCTTAAAATCCACTACCATCTTCTCACAAATTCATAAAGCCTGTAAATCAAGTTTAAGACCTTGTTTTTAGCATTGATACAGCCTTTATGTGAGTAATAATATGACATTTGCTGTGACTGTGGTACATATTTTAGTTTGTCCTTCTCCACCTCTCTGCAGAATTTGACATGGTCAATCACTTCATATTTGTTTAATGTCTCCTCCTTGTTGTTCAGATGACCTTGCCTAGTTTCATTCTTTCCTATTCAATCATAGCTAGAGTGCCTTAATGCAATGGATTCTCATCCTGGTCCTATATCCATTCCTTCTGCCAATTCCTAAGGATCTATACTTGCCTTTCTACTAGTTCTTAGTTAGATTCTGCTACGTGCCAGCAGCCAAGATATGACGTAGACAAACAGGAGGCTGGAAGAACACAGCAAGCCAGGCAGCATCTGGAGGAAAGGAGCAGTCAACGTTTCGGGTCCTGAAGAAGGGTTATACCTGGAACGTTGACTGCTCCTTTCCTCCAGATGCTTTCTGTGCTCTTCCAGCCTTCTGTTTGTCTAGCTTGGATTCCAGCATCCACAGTTTTTTTGTCTCTAGTCAAGATATGATGTCAGATTCCAAGTCTACCTCTAAGCATTTGGCTCACCATCAATTACTCCCATTTTTAACTTTTCTGCTACCCATGTGTTTAACATCCAAACCTGGATGAGCTGTAGTTTCCTCCATTTCAATATTGGGGATCTCTGGCTACACCGCAAAGTCTGTTCTCTCTCACCGATTACATGCTCCACTCTGACCGTACTCGCAATGTCTTAAGCAGACAGTTTGCAACCTGCAGTCATGTGACTTCTAAATCTTTATATTCTCCATCTCCATGACATCCTTCTCTTATACTGCTGAATTCAGATCTTGCCTAAGCTTATCTACCACTGAAACTACTATCCATGTTGTCACCTCTAGGTTCAACGGTTCCAATGCTTTACTGATCACCCTCACATCTTTTTCCCTGTATAAACCTGAGCTTATTGAAAACTTTGCTGCCTTCAACCACCTCATCATGTCTGCCAGTCCAAACACGTCTCAAATTTAATCTTTTCTTCATGTGTAAATTCTTTTCAGTTTAATTGTGGCCTTGCCCTTCTCTATTTCTGTAACTATTACCAGCCCTACAATCCTGCAAGAACTCTCTTTATTCTTTGAACTCTGGACCTTTGCGCAACCCACCTTCCTTTGCCATAACCATTTGGTGGCCAGGTTTCAGCTATCCAGACCTAGGATTCTACAGTTCCCTCCCTAAGCTTCTCTCTCATTTTAAGTCTCTCAATAAACTTTCCTCTTTGACAATGCAGTTCCTTTTATCATTTCAGGTTGTTGATGTTACCTGGAGATATTCCTGCAAACATAAAGAGGTTCTGACACGCAGAACCAAACTCAATGAGCGATTACTACGAGAAACTATTAATAAATTAAATTCTGAGGTCAGTATATAACTTTGTGAGCTAGTTCGAATACCATGTGTGAATGCATATGTGCATCCATGACTTTCCTCTTGAGAAAATGATATACAAATGGCAAAAGGTAACAAGCCACCAGTTCTTATAAATAATATATACAATCCACTCTTGATTCAAAGTCAATTATTGCAATTAACTGTCTTTGAGCTTTTGGGTATTTATTTTCCAATTTGCCGTTTGTATTGCTTAATATAAATTACAGTGTTATTTGTTAAAATCAGTTAGAATTATCTGAAATAGATTTGGTGTCTTACAAATATGTAAATACAACAATCCTAATAGTATAATTATTTATGGTACTCTTCCGAAAAGTGCATCCCTCCTTTCCTGCTCTCAAACCAGGTCTCTTACAGATGTATTCTCAAATCTCTCAAATATGACCATCTGAATAAACCGGAAATGGTCAGGAATCAGCTACTGTCCTATCTCAACAGCACATTCCAAACCTAATATTCTCCAATTCCCTTAGTGCCCAAAATTTTATTCAAAACTGAGATTGGTATACTCTGTGACTCAGCATTCGTAGTCCTGCAGCATAGAAAATTCTAAAGATTCACAATGACAAGGAATGACAAATTTTCTCCGAATCTGTGTGCTAAATAGCCAACCCCTTGTTCCATCCACTGGAACCAACCTCTCAGCATCTGCCCTGTCAAGTTCCCTTTTTTCTAATTTCAACGAGATCACCTTTTGATTGTTCTCAACTCCAGAGAATAGAAGCCTATTCGATTTGAACTTCCTTCATGGACAGTCCTCTGATCCCAGGAATTAGTCCAGTGAACTTCACTTGCGCTTCCTTTAAGACAAATACTTCCGTCCTTGAGTAAAAAGATCAAAACTAGCCTCAAAAGCCCAATATTGAACCATGACTTCTTTATTCCTACTCTGAACCCCTTGCAATAAAGGCCAATGTACAATGTGCATTCCTAATTACTTGCTGTTCCTGCATTAGACCTAATCATAGAGTCAAAGAGTTGTACAGCATGGAAACAGATCCTTCAGTCCTACTCATCCATGTTGACCAGATATCCGAAATAAATCTAGTCCCATTTACCAGCATTTGGCCCATATCTTTCTAAACCCTTCCTGTTCATATACCGATCCAGATACCTTTTAAGTGTTGTATTTGTACCAACCTCCATCACTTCCTCTGGCAGCTCATTCCATACACACACCACCCTCTGTGTGGAAAAAGTTGTTCCTTAGGTCCCTTTTAAATCTTTCCTCTCTCACCTTAAACCTTTGCCCTCTAGTTTTGGACTGCCCGCCCTGGGGAAAAGATCTTGGCTATTCACCCTATCCATGATTTTATAAACCTCTAAGATCATCCCTCAGCCTCTGATGCTCCAGGGAAAATAGCCCCAGCCTATTTAGCCTTTCCTTATAGCTCTAACCCTCCAACTCTCTGGCAACATCCTTGGAAATCTTTTCTGAACCCTTTCAGTTTAGCGACATTCTTCCTTTAGCAGGAAGACGAGAATTGCACGCAGTATTCCAAAAGTAGCCTAACCAATGTCTTGTTCAGCCACAGCGTGACCTCCCAAAGCCAATACTCAATGCACTGGCCAATAAAGGCAAGCATACCAAGTGCCTTCTTCACTATCCTGTCCACCTGGGACTCCACTTCCAAGGAACTATGAACCTGCATTCCAAAGTCTCTTTGCTCTGTATTACTCCCCAGGACTTTACCATTAAGTGTATAAAATCCTGCCCTGATTTGCCTTTCCAAAATGCAGCACCTCACATTCATCTAAATTAAACTCCATCTGCCACTCCTTGGCCATCGGCTCATCTGATCAAAATCCCGTTGTACTCTGAGGTAACCTTCTTCACTGTCCACTACACCTTCAATTTTTGTGTCATCTGCAAATTTACTAACCATATGTTGGCATCCAAATCATTTATATAAATGAAGAAAAGCAGTGGACCCAGCATCGATCCTTGTGGCACACCACTGGTCACAGGCCTCCAGTCTGAAAAGCAACCTTCCACCACCACTCACTCTCTTCTAGCTTCGAGCCAAAATGATATTTATTGAGTGGGATTTATTTAATAAGATTTGTAGTATAAAATGAATGGAACAGATTAAAAAACACTATTAATCTGTCTGATTAAGTTGAAATTTGGTTCCATATAGATTGTTTTATAATTTCAGAGAAAACACTTCCTTCCACAAGACAGGAAACAGGAGCTTTTGGAAAGGCAGATTGTTGAACTTGTGGAATTCATTTCACCAAAGACCCCAAAACCAGGAGAACTTGGTGGAAGGACATCAGGGTCTGTACTTTGGAGAGTAGCCAGAGGAGAAACTGGAGCCCTTGCTCAGGTTGGTAATGATATAAAGTGGCTTCTTGAGCCCAATTTCTTATTCTAGGCATTCCATTCAGAATATTAGAATCATAGAATCCCTACAGTGTAGAAAGATGTTTTTTGGCCCTACTAGTCTGCATCGACCCTCCACTAAGCATCCCACCACTAGCCTGCGCACCCCTGGACGCTAGGACAATTTAGCATGGCCAAACCACCTATCTTTGAACTGTAGGAGGAAACCAAAGCACCCGGTGGAAACCCACACAGATACAGGCAGAATGTGTAAACTCCACAACAGACAGTCGCCTGAGGGTGGAATCAAACCTGGGTCCCTGTTGCTGTGAGACAGCAGTGCTGCCTTACTGGAAGCTGTACATTTTGATTTAAAAGTCTCAGTGTCCCTGGGCTATGGTGTGAAAAAAAACACGGAATTCTATTTTTGGTTGCTGTTGCAAAGTCTACCTATGAGGACATCTGTGGAACTAAATGAGCTTAATCTTTGTGCTCTCTGTTCTGCCTAGCTGCTAGCCTCACTATCTAGGGGTGTGGATGTAAAACAGCAGTTGTAGTAAGAAACGTACTTCTCTCACACATAGAGAACCAAAAACACACACTAGTCCCTTGACTTGATTTTCATTCTCCCCAGCTACAAGATTAATTGGTGGTCATGACACATTGCTAAGCCATCTCGCTCATCGTGTCAATGCTGGCCAAAAATATCCTCTTTTCCAGATCTTGACCTAGAGATCTGTAATGATTACAGCATTTCAAGTGTATATTCAAATACTTATTATATGCAACTAGGGATTCTGCCTCCATCACCCTTTTAGAAGTTCAGTTCCAAATGCTGACCACCCTCTGGATGAATTGGTTTCTTTTTCCAATTCAGCATAGGTCTTTCTACCAGCTGCTTTTAAATCGGACTCTGGGTCATTGGCCTCACTGCTGACACTACGCCATTGTTATCAACAATATTCATGCCTGTAATAATTTTATAAACCTCAATAAAATCTCCTCTCTGCCTCTTACATTCCAAATGAAATAACCTCGGTCTGTTCAATCTTTCTTATCTAAAATTCTCTATTCTTAGTAATATTCTACATTTAACCTCCATACCGGTCCAGAATGATCACATCCTTTCTGTGAGCAGAAGTGTACACAGTACTCTAAGACATATTAAGCTACATCTATACAGTTTGAACACAGCCTCCTGTTCTTATACTCCAGAATTTGGATGTTTTGAGGCCTCTCCTGTATAACTGTGCGCATTTCTGGTTGCACTGTTATAGGAAGGATATTATTAAACTGAAGAGGGTTCAGAAAAGATTTACGAGGATGATGACAGGAATGGAGGGTTCGAGTTATAAAAATACACTGGGACTTTTTCCACTGAAGTGTAGGAGGTTGAGGGGTGACCTTATAGAAGTTTATAAAATCATATGGGGCATCGTAATGTGAATAGCAAAGGTCTTTTCCCTAAGGTGGGGGAGTTCAAAACTAGGGGGGCATATTTTTAAGGTGAGAAGAGAAAGATTTGAAAAGATCATGAGGGGCAACTTTTTTTTTTTGTTTTACACAGAGTGGTTTGTGTGTGAAATGAACTGCCAGAGGAAGTAATAGATGCAGTTACAGTTACAATGTTTAAAGATCATTTGGATAAGTACATGAATAGGAAAGTTTGAGGGGGATCTGGGCCGAACACAGGCAGATGAGACTAGTTTAGTTAGGGAACATGGTCAATGTGGACGAGTTGGACTGAAGGGTCTGTTTTCATGCTGTATGACTCTATGACAAATAAAGCAATATATCCTATTTACCTTGACCACTTTTATCTACCTGTCCTGATATCTTCTGGGATCTGTGGACATGTACTGTAAAGTCTCTCAGTTTTTGTACCCTTCTTAATATGAGATTGACTAGGTTATTTTCACTGGAGTTCAGAACAATGAGGTGGATCTCATAGAGACTTATAAAATTCTAACAGACTAGACAGGGTAGATACAGGGAGGACGTTCCAGATCGTGGGTGTGTCTCGAACTAAGGGCCACAATCTGAGGATTTGGGGTAGACCATTTAGAATCATAGAATCCCAACAGTGTGGGAACAGGCCCTTCGGCCTAACAAGTCCACACCGACCCTCACAGCATTCCACCCAGACCCATCCCCCTATAACCTACCTAATCTACACATCCCTGAACACTATGGGCAATTAAGCATGGCCAGTCCACCTACCCTGCACATCTTTAGACTGTGGGAGGAAACTGGAGCACCGGGAAGAAACCCACGCTGACACAAGGAGAATGTGCAAACTCCACACAGTCACCCGAAGGTAGAATTGAACCCGGGTTCTTGGCGCTGTGAGGCAGCAGTACTAACCACTGAGCCACCATGCTGCCCCATTTAGGATGGAGTTGAGGAGACATTTCTTCACCCAAAAAATGGTGAGCCTGTGGAATTCATTATCACAGGAACTAGTTGATGTTAAAACATTGAATGTATTCAAAAGGCAGCTAGATATAGCACTTGGGGTGAATGGGATCAAAGGTTAAGGGGAGAAAGCAGGATTAGGCTATTGAGTTGGACGATCAGCCATGATCACAAAGAAGGGCGGATCAGGCTTGAAGGGCTGAATGGCCTCCTCCTGCTGCTAACTTCTATGTTTCTATGTAATATCCTACTATTTATTGTGTATTTCCTTCTCTTGGTTACACTGTTCAAATGTATTCCCTCACATCCTGCTGGATTGGATATCATTTTTGCCATCCGGAACAGACTATTGATATTTTCTTCCTCCTACAATGTTCTTCTTCAATATCAACACACATGCAATTTTCACACATTTCACACATTTTTAAAAGATGCTGCCTCTATTTAAAATGCATTACATAACACAGAGGCAGATCCAATACTATGGAACTCCATTGGAAATGGCTTTCCAGTCACACAAACGTCCTTTGCCCATTACACTTCCTGCCACTGAGTTAAGTTTTGGTCTTACTTTCACATTGCCTTGGATCCCATTAGATTTTAGTTTATGACCAGTCTGCCATGTTCAACATTTTCAAAAAGCTTGCTAATGTTCATGTGGACTACAACGAACACATTTTGTAATACCAGGCATGACTTTTCACCTTTTTTTTCTGAACAGAACACGGGATTCACTTTCGTTGCTACTGAAAAAGAAAAATCAGCAAAGTCTTTTCATCTTAAATACAATGTAGTAGAAAATTATTATATTCGAATTTCCAACAACAATGAAATCATTAACGACTGGGAAAAAGCTGTATGGAAAATGGATTCTGTGATTCGGAAAGTGGAAGAAGACTGGAAAATGGTGTGGGCTTGCAACAAAGTATTCTTTTGATTTGAACATATCTTTATAGTTCCAATGTAAAATTTCGTAAATTTTGAATTATATTCCAAGGACAAGCTCAGTGGAAGAAGCAGATTAGTGTCTCAGATGATAAACTTTGATCTGATCATATTTGCATCAGGATACCTTAGAATGTATTTGGATTTTCTGCTTAACTTCCTTTGAGGAAAATTGGTTTGTCTGATTGTAATAGTGTTGTGGACTGGGTGTGAACAAAAGGAAAATCCCTCATATGAGCCTGGCTGCAACTCATCATTGTCAGGATTACACTGGCCCAGATCTTTTGATAAGAAGGTAGTAGTTGCAGCAATGTAGATGGGTCCCATGTCACATGTCCTGGCACCGCTAACTTTTTGGGAAAACTCTGGGCAATTCCCAGCTTCTGCTACCAAAAAATAACTCTTCAGTTAGCAAAAAAAATTCTTCAGTTAGCAGTACAAACTTTGGAGAGTTCTGAGTAATTGATTAGCTAACTTGGAAAGGTTATAGGGATTAAAGCCTGTTCCAATACCTGGCGACCCAAAAGACTGACCAGCTTGCTGCCACCACTCTAACTCCCACCCCCACCTTTTCTCCATAACTCTGAGTAAGCCTTCATACACTTAGCTGGCAAATGTACCCTGTAATCCACCTGGTACCTCTATCCCCTTACCCACCTTACAGACTTTAGGTGATGCTGTAAGTCTCTGTTTTGCAATGAAAATATTTTTTTTCTCTCCAAGCATTGTTATTCTGTGAAATTTTCTTCCCCAGAAACCAGCGGAGGGTATATTTGAATTAGATAGACTATTGATGGACAAAAGAATTAAGGGTCATGGGGGAGGTGTGGGTACAAAAGTGAAGTTGAGATCACCACCAGGTCAGCTAAAGGCTACCATTCACTCAGTATTGAATGGTGGAGCAGGCTTGAATGGCCAAATAGCCAGAACCTACTCTTAAATAATTAATCACTAAATAATTTCAGCTTCACCAAAGTAGCATCAAAGTTTAAATGGCTGGTCATGGAAATTGACCTCTTTTCATTTACAAACAAAGATCAATAGTATAGATTGGTGAAGAGACTTTTGGATTATTTGACCATTCAGTTGATGCTTATCACTGCTACAGTTGAACATGACTCCTTTTGTAATATAAACGTAATCCAACTTGAGTTATAGGGAGAGGTTGGACAAGCTAAGACTTTTTCCTTTCGAGGGTAGGAGACAGGGGGGGTATCTTATAGAAGTGTATAAGATCATGTGAGGCATGGATCGGGTGAATGCATTGTCTTTTTCCCAGGGTCAGGGAATTGAGGACTAGAGGGCAGCAGTTTAAGGTAAGAGGGGAAAGAATACATGGGAACCTGAAGGGCAACTTATTTTACACAGAGGGTGGTATGCATATGGAATGAATTGCCGGTGTGGAAGTGGTTGAGGTGGGTACATTAACAATATTTAAAAGGCATTTGGATGAATACATGGATAGGAAAGGTTTAGAAGGATATGGGCCAAGTACATGGAAACGGGGTTAGCATGGATGAACATTTTGGTCGACATGGACCTGTTTGGGCCAAAGGGCCTGTCTCCGTGCTGTAGGACTCTATGACTCTATAACTCATTATAAAAGCTTTTACTGTGTACTACCTCATGCAGTATATTTCTTTGTCTTGTCCAGGTGTACTTAGCTCGCACAGAAGGGTCATCATGTGCCAAAGTCAGTTGGAAGTTTGAATGTGGCTCAGTGGGTTTAAGGATTGACAATGTTTCCATTCGATCCAGGAGCCAGACATTTCAAACTGGAAATGTTAAATGGCACCTAAGTTCAAACTTGGTCAGCGTAGACCTAAACGGAGGTGTGTATTGCAGTATTATTGAATTTGATGAATATTTTTCCTTAATTGCAAGGAAAAAATTCAGTACAGTAACATAATGTCTTAATTTTTACATCTTTCTTGAAATTAGATGAAAGTACTCATTCATACCCTGATTTTAATGGATCAACTGAATTAATTTTGGAGGCAGAGCTAACTGGTGGAGAAGGAGATGTTGCATGGCAGCACACCCAACTCTTCAGACAAAGTTTGACTGATCATCAGGACTATCCCATGGAGATCATTATAACTTTTAAGGAAATTTAGATTAAGTATGAATTATCACCAGTCTAATTTCCAAATTACTCAAACCGAGTATTTTTTATATTATTCAATAGAGGCATTTGCACTAAAAAGTATTTTCAGTACTATACTTGTGGATGTAGGTGAGACTTTGACTCTCTATTAGAACTTGTGATGGGATCACTTGTAGAAAAATACTTGTACTATGTGACGAATAAAAATTGATTACTTGTATTTTGTACTGTTCTAAGTGTTAATGAAATTTCTGATGGCTTCTCCAGCTAAAAAATGTTGCAGCACAGATTCGCTTCTCCATATATTCATGTGACCACGTTAAAAGTAATTAATTAGACACCGACTGTGGTTAACTATCTTCAGAATTTTATTAGGCACTATCTAAATGCAGGGCTTTATTTCAGTATTAGGTATTTTAAAATTACTATTACATACCATAATATTAACCTATGTTAGTCAAATATACATACACACAGAGTAGTGTATTTTGGGATCTCTCCTGGATTTCTTTTCATAAGGCTTCACCAACTCCCATTCATACTTCTTGGTGGAGAAAAATAATCACTTGGCCTTGACTGCATTTTTAACTACCTGTTATCTAGGCAATTTGAATTGAGACGGAGACGTACAGAAATTCTCCATTTTTATTGCATTCCATTATTATGGCGTATCGATAATATCATGTACCTTTCCTTGACTTTGAACTGTGCAAGTGCTGCTTCACAGTTGACATTCATTTGAGCTGCATTTATCCCTGAAATACTAAGTCAGTGCCATGCCTGTTTTGCTAACCACAGTCAAGATCACTAACTTTATGTTACAACTGGTTAGGGCTGATAACTTAAAGCAGATAAAGTTTGAAATCTCAAATACTCTCTGAGAACAAAACTGCTATTCTAGGGTTTTGTACAAACAAAATAAACTTTACTGTAGAAGATTTGAAAAGTAAAATAAATTTAACATAGCTAAATATGGGTTATTAAACCTACTGTGATCAAACTCTGCCAACAGCACTTTAAATAGCAGATGCAGTCAAAACAGATTCCACAGACGTCTCAGCAAACCATCCAGGTGTGAGTCACTTTAGGCCACTATTTTGTTTCCTCCATGAAAAATTTCAATTTCATTTTCAAAGATCTCGCCTTCAAACTCCTTTGACAACTATTTATGGCCTGGCAGCTCAACCTGTTCATTCAAATCTGCATTCCTGAGATTGTTTGCAACCAATGAAGAGTTGATGGCCTGATTGAGTGGTAATTCAGAGACCCAGGTAATGTTCTGAAGACCCAGGTTTGAATCCCACCAGCAGATGGTGTAATTTGAATCAAATAAAAATCTGGAATTAAGACCATTGTCAATTGTCATAAAAACCCAATTAATTCACTAATACCCTTTCAGGAAGGAAACTGCTATCCTTATCCGATCTGGCATACTTGTGATTCCAGACCCAAAATATAGTCGGCTCCTAACTCCACTCTGAAATGCCCAACAAGTCACTCAGTTGTATCAACCTCAAGAAGGAAAAAAAACAAATGAAACTAGATATGGAACCCAAGGGACTGTGAACCACAATAACAAACAGCCCTGAGCAGTAAATGGTGATCAGCAGGATGTTTCCTTGGCTATGTTTGACCAGATTCCATTACGCTTCGTGGGGCTATAGTTAATGTTAAGGGCAACTTCATCTTGACTGTACACAACTGTGCTGCCATCTCTGCTGTCTCTGTCTTGCTACTGGGACAGGAAAATGACAATATCGTCCAGGACATTGTTTGTAAGGTACGATTCTGTATGACTACTGCTTGACTAGTTTGAGAGACAATTCTCCCAATTTTGGCACATCCCCAGATCTTAATAAATGTGATATATTTTGAACAGATGCAGCAATTCAAGACTGGACCATCATCAACAGCAGAATTGTACTCCATAACAATCTGTAACCTCGTGACATTACAAATCCTCCACTCTATCATTACCGGCAAGCCTAAGGATCAACCCTCCTTCAACAAAGAATACAGGAGGGCATGCCCCACATCGTAGATGCCAGTTTTCGATTAATTCAATTCACTTAATGTGACATCAAGAAACTGCTGGAGGCATTGGATACTGAAAAGGCTACGGTCTTGAAGACTTGTGCTCCAGGTCAGGCCATACCACTAGCCAAGCTGTTTGAGTCCAGTTACAGCATTAGCACTTACCTGGCAATATGGAATGTTGCCTTGGTATTCCCAATATACAAAAAGCAGGACAAATCCAACCCACCCAATCGCTGTCTCATTGGTCTACTCTCCATCATCACTAAAATGCTGGATGGTGGCATCAATAGTGTTACCAAGCAACATTTGCTCAGCAATAACCTCCTGACTGATGCCCAGTTTTGGTTCCACCAAAGCCACTTACCTTCTGACCTCAATACACTCTCTCCTCATTATCCACATAATCACAAATTTGGCCCATCAATTTTATTATTCATTGACACATCCAGTCTGATCACACAGTCCTTTGCTGTTAAGTAGAAAAGGGACATTGGATCTGTATACATGGGAAGTCCATGCCCCCACTCCTCCATGGATAATGAGGGTTTGATGCACAGCCTTAGTTCAAACATGGACAAAATAACTGAATCCCAGAGTGACTCCCCTTGATGTTAAGGCTGTGTTTGATGAAGTGCATCATCAGGGATCTCTAGCAAGACTGGAGTCAATGAGAATCTGGTGGGGAGCGGTTGCGGGGTGGAGGGGGTGGTGGAGGGCAGAGCTCCCTGCTGATTAGTCATATTTGACCCATAGCAAGACAGTTGTGATTGTAGGACGTTAGTCATCTCAGCTCCTGGACATATTTGCAGGAGTTACTCATGGCAGATGTTTCCTAATCAACATGTTCGGGGATGTTATGACACATCTCAGTTGTGGGTCGGACTTGAAGCTAGACCTCCTGGTCCACGTGGCGGGACTTTACCACTGCACTACAAAAGCCTCTTTTGTTCTTCAGGATAGTGTCCTTAACACTTCTGTTGATTCATTAATTACCTTTCTCAACTATAAAGATCAGAATTGGGGAAGTTCACTAATGACTGAACAATGTTCAGCACCATTTGTGACTCCTGGGATACTGAAGCAATCCATGTTCAAATGCAGCCAATCTGGACAATATCCAGGTTTGGACCGACAAGTGATAAGTAACATTAGTGCCACACAAGTGTCAGAAATGACCATTGCCCTTTGACATACAATTGCACAAACATTATTGAATATCCCACTATCAGCATCTAGAGAGGTACCATTGACCAACCTTGAGACTATCACTCTTTTTCTTTATTTTTATCATTTTTGGTTTCGAAATGTGAGAATCAAGTTTTGAACAACATGTTGTTTTTAAAAAGGAGAACAAACAAACTGATGCTTATATTTGGGAATTGGCATGGAAAGATAATTACAGGTTAATTATTGTTCGAACAACACTGCAGATGTTTCAGCATCAGAAAGTGTTATGCTCAAGATTAGCAGCAGGTTGGATGTTGCATTAGTCAGTCAAGGGGAGGCCCATGCTGGCCAGCCAACCACTGAGAGAATGTTGGAAAAGAAATAGCTGGATGGATTGTTCCATAGGATGTTGAAAGAAGTCAGGGTCAAAATAGCAGATGCTCTGAGGATTATTTTCCAATCTTCACTAGGCACAGATGAAGTACTGGAAGAGTGAGGAATGCAAATGTTGCTCCATTGTTTAAAAAGAGTACAAAGGAAATGCCAAACAATTATAGGCCAATAAGTCTTTCTTCAGTGGTGAGCAAATTGTTAGAATCAACGAGGTTGTTGACTTGCTCACCGAGCTCGCTTGTTCTTGTCCAGACGTTTCATCACTGTGCTAGGTGAAATCATCACTGGAGCCTCCAATGAAGCGATGTTATTCTACTCCATTTGGAATTTATACTGTCCGGCCCGTTATGGTGAGTAGTGTCATTTCTGGCTTTGAACTGAATGGGTTTGTATATGGGGTCTAATTCTATATGTTTGTTGATTGCATTATGGGTGGAGAACCATGCCTCTAGGAATTCCTGTGGTATGTTTGGCTTGGGCTAATATGGTTACCTTGTCCCAGTAAAACTGATGGCCTTCATTGTCTGAGTGTACCGATATGAAGGAGAGTTTGTCGTGCCATTTTGCTGCTAGTTGATGTTCATGTATTCTGATGGCTTGTTTCCTTCCTGTCTGTCCAATGTAATATTTGTGGCAGTTGTTACATGGTATCTTGTAAACGCATTGGTTCTGCACGTTGTGGGAATGGGGTCTTTAATCCTTGTGAATATTTGTTGTAGAGTGGCTGTGGGCTTGTGGGCCACCATGATTCCTAGTGGTCTTAGGAGTTTAGTTGTCAGCTCCGACATGTTCTTGATGTAGGGCAGTGTGGCCAGTGTGTTAAGGCGTACTGTGTCCTCCTGTTGTTGTCTGTTTAGTGGGCACCTGCAGATGAGGTTGTGGAGATATCTGTTTATAGCGAGGATTTTGCATAAGTACTCTTCCTCTTTCCTGTGTAGTTCTGGAGTGTTGCAGTGTGACCTGACCCATTTAAACAGTGTCCTAATACAGCTTTGTTTGTGTATGTTGGGGTGGTTGCTGTGGAAGTTGAGGATTTGATGAGTTGCTTTTCTGTATACTGAGGTTTGGAACTCCCTGTTGGTCATACGCTCAACTTTAACATCCAGAAATGGAAGTTGATCGTTGTTTTCTTCTTTCCTTGTGAATTTAATCCCGCCAATGCGCTGTTGATGAGGTGCTGTGTCTCTTCTAATTTGTTATGTTTAGTAATGACAAATGTGTCGTCTACGTAGAATAACCGCTTCATTGGAAGCTCCACTGATGACGTCACCTAGCATGGTGACGAAACATCTGAACAAGAACAAGCCAGCTTGGCAAGCAAGTCAACAACCTCACCCACAACCCGAGCTACATTTGCTAAAATGTTAGAATCAATTCTGAGAGATCGACAACCTGTCACTCATAAAGGCATGGACTACTCAGGGATAGTCAGCATGGCTTTGTTAAGGGAAAGTAATGCCTTACAAATTTGATTGAATTCTTTGAGGAAGTGACAAGGAGGATCGATGAGGGTAGTGCAATAGATGTTCTCTACATGGATTTCAGTAAGGCATTTTAAAAGGTCCCACATGGCAGACTGGTCAAAAAAGTAAAAGCCCATGGGATACACAGTAATGCATTAAA